CAGAGCGGCAGTAACACCTCCCTTGATCTGGAAGCCACACTTCTGGCCGTGCATCCGAGGGTGGCGTTTGCCCTCTTGGCTGCTGTGTCACACTGCTGGCTCATGTTTAGCCTGTAGTCCATCAGCACCCTGAGAAAAAAGGCGACTCCCATCCTAAGGAAAAGCATGTAGGACCGGAGGAAGGGGGCATGGCCCCCTGGAGGGCCATGTGAGGGCTGGATCCTGAAGTCTGGCTACCCTGCCTGGATGCATTAGCTCAGACTGAGTTGCCAAGTGCAATACAGTTGGAGCAGAGACAGAACCTTGTCAGGACAATCGGCGTTCCAGCCGTCTTTTGGTCAGTGCGACGTGCTACAAACGGGCCGCTTTGGAAATGGGAAGCTTCGCTTATTCCAAAAGGGAGCAGCAAAATGGTTTGCTGTGTCTGGCCCACAGGACCCCGTGCTTTGCCATAACGCCACTCTGGCTCTCAAGCACCATTCCAAGGGCAGGGGTGGCATCAGTGCTCTCCTGCCCCTGCCCAGCCCCTAAGACCCTTCTCTGGGCAATGCCCCTCTCGGGGTAGCCCTGCTAGAGGAGGCACACGGTGGGCCCCCGAACGGAGGGCTTCTTTTGCCGAGATGAGCTCCCCGGAGTCTTGTCCAGGGCCAACGCTGGAATCGTCGCATTAACACGCTGTTTCCCCAGGGCTGCTCGTTTGAGCAGTTGTTAAGTTTCTCGCATGCTTGTTGTTTTTTGTTACTGATTTTATCCTCTAGCCTTTAGTTAAGCATTTGTGTCAGGATTCGTCTGTTTTTATACTTCAGGGTTTTATTTGAGAACAACCCAAATTTTGTTGATCTGTGATATTTTCAAGAGTCACTGCTAGGATGATGCACCAAAACGGAAACCGAAGGGAAATCAATGAGTGATGCAGAAGGAACTTTGACTGGAGGAGTGTTTTAAAGAGCAGCTGCAATGTTTTGATGAGAGGGGGGCATCTTCCAAGAGCCCACAAGAGCCTATGATACTTGTCCTCATTCACCCACATTGGCTGCCAGTGGAAGTTCAGGCCCAATTCCAAGTGCTGGTGTTAACATTTAAAGCCCTAAATGGATTGGGACCAGGCTCCCTGAGGGAATGCTTTGCACTATATGTTCCTACCCAGCCCTTAAAATCATCTACTGAGGTCCTTCTCAGGGAACCCCGCCAAAGAAGCGAGGGGGGTAGCACCCCATCTTTGGAATATGCTTCCCAAGGAGGCGCTCCTGGAGCCATCATTGTTCTCTTTTCGGCACCAGGTGATGAAAGCCTTTTTACAGTCCAAACATTTTAACAGGTAACATTTGTTTAGTGTTTTTATTCCTGCTGGACTGTGAATAAATTTTATTATCTGATCTGATATCTGATCCAACACCGACCACGCCTGGAGGGGAGGGGAGGGGGGGTCGCTTTGGTTTACTGAGCCTCCATCTCCCTCACGGGGCTTCCTGTTCTCTCAAGGCCGGGTCTAGATTGCCTTTATCTGGCGTTGGGTGACCGAGACAGACTGGGGATTCTGTTGGTGTTCCGTGCACCCTTCTGCCCAACAGACTCCCTGCCTGAGCTGACGGAGATCGTCTCGGACCTGGTGTTGAGGACCCCCAGGATGTTGGTCCTGGGGGACTTCAATCTCCACGCCGAGATGGTTCTGACCGGGGCGGCTCAGGACTTCATGGCCTCCATGGCGGCCATGGGGCTGTCTCAACACTGGCCCGACCCATGTCATTGGCTCGACCCATGAATGTGGACACACTCTGGACCTGGTTTTCTCAATGGGGCAGGAAGAGGGTGATCTGAGAGTGAGGAACTTGTGTCTGACACCCCTGTCATGGTCAGATCAGTTCCTCGTGTGGTTTAAGCTCGAGAGTGGCCTTTCCCTCTGCAAGGGTGTGGACCCGATTGTGCTGGTCTGCCCCCGGAGCTGGATGGATCCGGATGGATTCCTGAAGGCCCTGGGAGAATTCCCGGTTGATAAGGCTGGTGCTCCTGTCGAAGCTCTGGTCGAACTGTGGAATGGGGAAATGACCAGGGCTGTTGACACGATCGCTCCTAAGCGTCCTCTCCTGCCGGGCAGAGCCTGTTCATCCCCTTGGTATACACCTGAATTACGGAAGATGAAGTGGGTTGGGAGATGTCTAGAGCGTAGGTAGAGGAAATCACGGGATGAATCTGACTGAACACACTTAAGAGCCCATTATTGGGCCTATGCTGTGGCGGTGAGGGTGGCGAAGAAGAAATTCTTCTCTGCTTCCATTGCCTCCTCACAATGCTGTCCAGCAGAGCAATTTCGGGTGGTACAGGGGCTGGTACACCCGGGCCCAAAGAAAGATCTCGTGCTACCCTTGAAGGCCCACTGTGACGACTTGGCCAAGCATTTCAGGGAGAAAATCGCTCAGATTCATCACGAGCTGGACTCCACTAGTGACTCAGAGCCTTCAGGGGAGGAGCCAATGCTGCCGTCTGGTCCACAATTGATGGATGAATTTCAGTTGCTGCGGCCTGATGATGTGGACAAGGTGCTTGGACAAGTACGTCCTGCCACTTGCTTACTAGACCCATGACCATCTTGGCTACTCAAGAAAGCCAAGGACAGGATAGGGACCTGGATCCTGGAGGTTATCAACACCTCTCTAAGGGACAGCCGGGTACCTGTCCCTTTAAAGGAGGCAGTAGTCCGGCCAGTTCTAAAGAAGGCATTCCTGGATCCAGAGGTGGCTGCCAATTATTGACCGGTGGCCAACATCCCGTTCTTGGGCAAGGTGTTAGAGTGGGTGGTGGCGGGACAACTCTAAGCACTCTTGGATGAAACTGATTATCTGGACCCATTTCAGTCCGGCTTCAGACCCGATTATGGTACTGAATCTGCCTTGGTCGCCCTGTACGATGACCTGTGCAGGGAGAAGGACAGGGGGAGTGCATCCCTGTTGGTTCTCCTGAACCTCACAGTGGCTTTCGATACCATTGACCATGGTATTCTTCTGGATAGGCTGGCAGGATTGGGAGTTGAGGGCACTGCTTTGCAGTGGTTCCACTCCTATCTCAATGGCCGATTCCAGAAGGTGGTGCTGGGCGACTTTGGCTCTGCGCCATGGCAGCTATGCCACGGAGTTCCGCAGGGGTCCATTTTGTCCCCCTTGCTATTCAACATCTACATGAAACCGCTGGGAGAGGTCATCAGGAGCTGTGGGCTGTGGAATCATCAGTACGCTGATGATACCCAGCTCTACCTCTCATTTTCCACCAATCCAGGTGAGGCAGTGGCTGTACTGAACCGGTGCCTGGCCGAGGTAATGGGCTGGATGAGGGCCAATAAACTGAGGCTCAATTGAGACAAGACGGAGGTCCCGTTGGTAGGCGGGTCGGGCTTCGGGATGGGAGACCTGGACCTTGTCTTGAATGGGGTTGCACTCCCTCTGAGGGACAGGGTTCGCAGCTTGGGAGTGCTCCTCGAACCAGAGCTGTCATTAGAAGCTCAAGTAACAGCGGTGGCGAGGAGCGCCTTCCTTCAGCTTCGGCTGATCCATCAGCTGCGTCCCTACCTGGAGAACAACTGCCTGGCGACTGTGACACATGCATTGGTAGCTTCCCGATTGGACTTCTGTAACACACTCTACGTGGGGCTGCCCTTGAAGACGGACCGGGTACTCCAATTGGTTCAAAATAGAGCTGCCAGGCTGCTGATGGGGACTGGGCATTATGTTCACATGTTCTCCGTCAGCTTCACTGGCTCCCCATTGAAGTCTGGGCCCAATTCAAGGTGTTGCTTATCACCTATAAAGCCCTAAACAACGGCTTGGGACCTTGTTATCTAAAGGAGCGCTTGCATCCATATCTGCCCTCCCGCCCACTGAGATTGGCGGAGGAGGCCCTTCTCCGGGAGCTCTCCGTGAAAGATATTAGGAGGGTGAGTACCCGGAGGAGGGCCTTCTCTGCGGTGGTGCCCCACCTATGGAATGCGCTCCCCAGAGAGGTCCGCCTGGCGCCGTCGTTATTTGTAAGCCGCCCTGAGGCTTTCTGTGATGGGGGCGGCATAAAAATGCTTTAAATAAATAAATATTATAGCTGCTGGGTTGTCAAATTTTGTTGTATTGTTTTTAGTGTTTATAATCTATTGTTTATATTGTTTAATTATGACTATTTATTGCTTTTAATGCGTCTTTTAAATTTTATTAACTGCCAAGAGAGCCCAGTGGGCTAAGGGGGAGTATATGTTTAATAAATAAATGAATACAAGAAAAAAACAGAGCATCTTTACTTCAAGATATGAGAACTCAAGGGAGGCAAATTGAACCAGAAATGAACACGCTGAGCTGCTACACACGAGCTGGAATTGGGCATGTAGTGATATTTCCACAAACACTGATTGCTTTTATTTTGTAGAAAAGATCAGGGAGGACACAGTGCCACTTGTCATGTTCCAGAGACACTTACAAATTTCCCGTTTCACCCCATAGTCTGAAAATTCCAAATTACTTCTTCTTTCCAAAGTCGGAATCCTCCATGGTAGCTTAAAAAATGAGAAAAAACAGAAATCCAAACTCTGGGAAGAACTTTTTGTACGGCCTCCGTGTGCTGATAAACTGATGTCAGGCTTTGGAGACGGCCGTTGCTTTTTCTTCTCCTTGAGACTCACATGAAGGTTTCCTTTCCCCCGGTGCAGCCTTGAAAAAAAGATTGCAAAAAGGATCTGGCAGCCCCCCCTCCCCCCCCCGAACAAACTGGGCATATGATGCGCTGAGCTTTCTGAGGAGGGTGGGTTTTTCCTCACCTCCTTTGGCTTAATCCCTTCTCCACACTTCACTAAATATAACCCTTCCTTGCATCTTCTCAAACATCCTGTAACTTTAAACCTGAGATCATATTTTTTATGGGCAACCAAACAGAGAGCGGAGGGCGGACCCGCCGTCCAGGACCACTCGGAATACCCTCCCAGCCCACAGTTAAAGAGCGCGAGGGCCGAGTCCGCACTCATTAACTTTGCCGTCACTTTGCCAGCGCTGCTGAGAAACCAAAGACGCCCCAAACCCCGCAGGAGGAGGAGAACGCGAAAACCCAAACAAAGTTTTGCAAAACAAGACGAGGTTTGGCATCCGTGCTTGCTCAAGGCTGGAATTTGCAGCTGGCTTTTCTTAAAGGAAAGAACAAGGATCAAGGATGTTTCTGAAAATGCAGCTCGTCCTTTTCCTGATTGGGAGTCTGTCTCTCCATATCGTTGCGGAGGAAGGTAAGAACAATTCTGTAAGTTACGCTGCTGTCCAACTAGGGAGACAGAACAGGAATGACCTAAAGTCTGGAAAATAGCAAGTCCGGATCCACTTTATCTTTTTAATGTAGTTTTGCAATCACCCGACTGTTCAACCAGCAAGTCAGGTGATTTGTAAGGAAACCATAAAATGAGTCAAAGGCAACATTTAAAAAAGAAAAACTGCACATGAAATGGATGAAATAACAGATCACATTAAAGCCCTAAAACCAAGACGTATAAGTATAACTTTTACCTGCAGTTCTGTGTGATTAATGGAAGTTTTACACAGTTTCTGTACTTAGTTGCAGGGCGGAACAATTCAAGTCCGTCTGTGAAGTAAAATCCGTTGCGCTTTTGTGGATTTTCAAAACATTAAAAAGGCCACCTACAGCACGTATTGAGAGCCAGGAGAAATAACCGTGCCTGTAAGAAAACAAATAAGCTTTTTCTTCTCATGCCCACACATAGAAGGCCAACTTAATGCGATAGCTTGCGGTTCTTTCGTGATCTTTCTATTTCTAGATTTCAGGCAATATCTGACCTGTGGCAAATATAGCCAAAACCGAATCACCCACACAGAGGAAGTGGGGTGTTAGGGGTGCGGCAGAGTCTGGGAATGGAAGTCTGGGAGGAAGGGAGGGAGGGAGGGAGAATTCCCCCCCCCCCCAAGCCCAACCTAGGCAGATTATGCTCCATGGATATTGTGCTGAGGGACTGCAGGTGGGGTATGAAAAAACACTGATGTGGGGAAGGGAATAGGATGGGGTGGAGGGGTCAGCGAAGCCACAGCTGGCCACAGGTCCCTCCCATATTGCACGGCAGCGGGCTGCGGGTTGTGGGTTGCATCCAGATCTATTTTGGAGCTTCTGCACGATGCCAGGTGTGCTCCCTGCCCGGCCTCCTTCCCACGGCACCCTGAAAATTCTGGGGAGACCTCGCTGCATTCGTGAACTGCAGTGGGTGGGATGGAGGACCCCCCACATGGGTGGAGGGGCAGGAAGCCCCCCCCCCACTCACTGAAAATCGGTACCTCTTGTGCAAGACGAATCTTGGATCCGAACCAGTAGCTTTCTTGGAGAGCTGGAGCCTCTAAAACAGGCCCTTTGCTCGTGGAACGTTTATTCATCCCACTTTTATTGTTTGTGTTAGCTTGTTTGTCACCTCATTGGGCGGCCAGTCGGGGTGGGGCATGAGATGCCTTAATCATCCCGACTTCTGCTTACGCTCTCCTAGTTACACTGGGTGGTAGTTGTGAATTAATAAAAGAGCAATTAATACAAAGCAGGCCGAGAGCAACATTTTTCTTTACACTCTCCAAAGAAGGGGCTACTCCTGTTTCCAGGGTGTGGGGGTTGAATCCCCGCAGTGTGGGGCCAGCACCAAACAGGCCCTGACTCTGTGATGCCCCAAAGGGCCTCTTCTCAATGTGCTGGGGAATGGAGCTTCCGGACCGACGGCCAGGCCACGGCGGGCTCAGACACGTTCGGCAGTCGGACGCCTCCAAATCCCGGATTCAGGCCCCATAAACACCATTAGAGCGACCTCTGGCAACAAAATGCGGGACGTTCCCAGGAAGCAGCAGGCACGGGGACCCTGGGAAGAGATGCAGCGGAAGACAGACTGTTCCTACATGGGGAGGCTCTGAACACCTCAGGTCTGCTTGCTCACCATTTTGGTTCCTAGTTTCCGGGCCCCGGGCTTCGAAAAGCCCCTCTCTGCCCAACGCCCCAGCAACATGTCTTCTGCCCAGAAGAGGGGAAATGGCTCCCTCCGGTGGGAGCACAAGAAGGCCTGTGCTGGAGCAGGTTGTCTCGTCCGCCTGCAGGCGGGTCCCACTGCAGCCCCCCACGCTGATGGTTGGATTCAGACATAATGCTGTTGAGATGCCTACAAGCAGCCCCTCTGGGTGATGGGCTTCTCCCCCCCCCTGAAGAGGGGGGGGAGGGGGGACCCCCCGGGGGGGGGGGGGCGGGGGGGGGGGGGGGGGGGGGGGGGACGGAGGGAGCCGCCCTTCCTCTCACCCTCCCAGCAGCTGGCATCCAGCGCCCTGCTCTCTCTTACCCCAGAGAGAATACGTCAGCATCCTCAAGGGCCAGTGTGGACGGTGGGCATGGTTGGGCACTTGCCAGGGGCCCACGTCCCAATGAGGGGCCACTGACAAAAGGGCCCCAGGCTTGCTGCTCCCTTTCGCCACTGCAACGGGCTTGTCCAGCCTGCTCTTCTCTGGGCCAAGCAGGGTCAGAGGGCAGGAGATGCCCCTTCCTCCTTCCTCCTCACTCCTTCCCCCATTCCCTGTCCCCAAGGGGCGGGAATAACGAGAGGCACACGAGCGCGATGGCAGCCACTGCAAGCAGAGAGAGCCTCACGCATGAGGCCGTTTCCCTGAAAGGACCACGTGGCCCCACCCCAGACAAGTGGTTCTCCCCCATGCTGAATAGCACATACAGCCTCTCCGGGATATGTCAAGAATTCCCCGATATTTCGGGAAGACTTACAGCCTTCCTGGGACATGTCAGGAATCACCGGCCTGCGGTGATTCATGCTTTGCAGGGCTACTGATTCAGGAGGCTGACGTTCCGTGGGTCAGCACTTTTGGGAGCTGCAGCTGGGACGGCATTTGTGTCTGGCAGCACATTGGTGGGGTGGGCGGCTTGGCCAGAACGAACACAGGAAGCCGGTGTTGAAATTTCACCTTGGCACCCAAGATGGTGATGACATATAGACCAGTAAAAGGCTGGGGGAGAAGAGAGAGCCTGCGCACTTCCTGTCTCCAGATGCAGCTAGACCTGCTTTGTCATGGGCTACGGCTGTGTCATGCGTCTCAGGATCATACCCTTGTTCCTGAGTAAACTCTGGGGATTCTTCTAGAAAGCTGGTGGGAACTCCAACGACGTCTCTGAGCTAGCAAAGGAACGGCTCTGGTAGGGCTTCCTCAATGGCAAAGACCGTGTGGCCGTGGAACACCTCCTTCGCTGTGACCACAACACCAGCTGAAGGAAGCGTTTCCACACACACACACACACACACACACACCCCGAGCTTTATGGCAGGTGTGAGCAGAAGGGTCAATCAGTATGATCATGGGGAGCTCTGCAGTAGATCCAGAAAGCTTTCCCTCTCCCAGTGGTGTCACATCACAAGGAACATCGCTGGTCAAAGGGTGGTGGGTGATGTGGATGGGCAGGTCTTTGCTCACCTCTCTCTAGGTGAGCCTCGATTATACAATACATGGAGTGGGGATTGGCCCATCATGGTCAAGACTGGGAACAAGCCAGTTCGACCCACTGTAGGATTCATGGAATGCAAGGGGAATCCCTTTTTGCGCCTGATTCCAATGGGTCAGTTTTGGGATTATGCTCAGGAAGAAAGCACATCAGTTAGCACTGGAGTCAGCCCATCTCTGGATTCCTGGATTGCCCTTATTCTGGGTTCCCACCCATGGGAGAGCTTTTTATTGCCTCTTAGTCTTTCATCGAAGGTGGATTAAAATCCAGAAATCCTTATGTCAGGATAATTTTATGATTATCTTAGTTTTATCATTGAGATGCCACAAGGTTCATTCCTGGATGGACTGACCAATACACAGCAGCAGGTAAAGGGTTTGGCTTTACAAATCACCGTGTAACTTTTCTTGCTAAATTTGCTGTGGTTATGTGCTGTCAGGCCACCTTTGACTTACAGTAACCCATGAATGAAAGCACCCCAGAACCTCTTCTCCATGACAGCTCTTCCCAATCCAAGGCCGAGGCTTCCTTTACGGATTCAGCCCATCTCACATTTGGTCTTCTGACTTCTGCCTTTGACTTTTCCGAGCATGCTGGTCTTCTCTCTTGCTAAATAGTGAAGACTCCGCGGTTATGAACTTGACAACTTCCGCCGATAGTCTGAAAATTTGCTGGTTCGGGTTGTTGTTGTGGTCAGTTTGCATGCTGTACATGCTTTTTGATGGTGAGCAACCTTGTCAGTTCTTGGAGCAAAAGGAAGGAGAGAAATTCACGGCGTGTGGATCAAATTCCCAGTGACAAGGGCCTCTTCCACCCCCTTAGCTAGGGCTTTCCCTTCCTGCACCTCACCCTCGGATTGATGCTCAGGGCAACTAAAGCAGTACAAGGCAGGGCAATTCAGAAGCTATGAGAAGGAGGCCAGCTCAGGGTAGGCGGTAGAAATTCCTTTTACTCCACGTGGCAAAAAGCGAGCGGTGGGGACAACCTGCATTTTGCCTTTGTCGTTCTCCACTGCGCTGCGGCAGCTGTTTCCCGGCAAAGGGCAGGCAATGGGGACGGCCGGAGCCTGGCTCCAGGATGCCGTGTGGACAAGCAGCTCTCCACGGGGTCTCCTGGCCCTGCCGCCAGCCATCCTCCGCCCTTGGAGTGACCCAGGGTTGCCTCGGAGCGAGGTGTTCTCAGCAGGCCACCTTGCAGCATTCTCCCTTTGCACTTCTTGGCAAGAGAAAAGGGTCAGGAGGAAGAGGAGGGCAGGAAGCCAATGTGGGGTGGAAACCAATAATGGGGACGTGTCATTTCATCCCAGCCTGGTTGCTCAAATGTCGAGCCAAAGATTCCTGTACGGACCCGCAGCTGCCTGGGCCGCCCTTGGTAAGCCTTGCCTCTCCCAAATCGTGCTGTGCAGAGACAAAAAGAGGCAATTTCGTTTTGCTGGCGCTGAGTGATTGGGAATGGATACCTGCGTGGTTGAAATCTTCCGCACAACTCAGTGTGTGCAGAGGTGCTTACGAGGGTAAGACGGCTGAGACTGCTGACTCCAGAAACTTTGGTCCAAAGAGCGAAACAGCATCCATTCTCTCTGTGTTCGCTTGTTAAAATGTTTTAATATACTGTATGGCCCTGCTTTCTACCACAAGGAAACCAAACAATAATAAATACAGCTGGAAAAAAATCTTAATTAGAACTTAACACACAGGATCCTAACTAATTTCCTTCATGAGCTAAAGTGAGGGTGATTCAATCTTCTGGGGAAAT